TTTTTTTTTTTTTTTTTGTTTTTGTTTTTGTTTTTTAAGAAGGTCTTGGATTTTGGTACTAATTTTCCGTCTTTTTCCTTTGATCAGCGTTTGTTATTTGTGTGGCTGTAAAAAAATTCTGACCTTTTGTGTAAATAGTGCATTGCCACTGTAATTGGACTTTTCTAACCATAAAGCATTCACTTGACTGTGAGATTTGGTGAAGACATTAGTATTTCATCTTTGTAGAAATTTCATTGGATGATGTGAGTCGTTTTGCGAAGTGCTTACCACTTTTAGTCGGTTTTTTGTCAGGGAAAGGCTGTTCTGGTTTAATAATAATTGGCCGAAATCTGCTTAAAGTGATGACAGTCTGGTTCTGATTTCGGGTTTTTTGGATTGGGTTGGCTGCAGCCTGCTTTTGTCCGAGAAGGTTTTGTGATTCATGGTGATGATTTATGAAATTTTTATTGTTTATCTTACATTTGTTGTGAGGGCTTTTCCGCAGCAGATGTTTGCACCACTTTGAACTCTTTTGTTTGGACACAGTGGTCGAGTTTGCCTGTAATTTTTCATGAATTAGTGTTTGTGCAAAGAAATGTGGTAGTTCTCTGCTGTTAATTGTTGTGTTAAGGGATCAGTTTTGTGCGTAGACAGTTAGGCGCATTTTAGGAAATCACGGTAGGTCGTTATCTGTAGTTAAAGGATTCGCGGAATTAGGGTTAAGGGTAAGAAATAACTGTGGAGGTGGCCAAATTTAGAGGCTGGGGAAATCTAGTCTGAAGTAAAGGACTTCATCTACAAACGGTAGTAATCTTATTTATGACGGCAGAATTCGCTGGGTAGCTGCTTAATCGGAAGTTGTTCTTTGTCTCGGGCTTCTTGAGCAGATAGTTGTGGAGGAAATTTGTTAGATACGGCTGTAATTGTTTAATTGCTCCTGGCCTGTATTTCTAACGTTTCTTAGGTCACTGCGATAATTGGAATCTTTCAGAAGAACAGATGGTATACGACCAAAGTTTTAGCATTAAAAACAGTCTCTTGAAAACGGCTTATTGCGACTGATGAGCTGCTGTCAAGATTTCAGTTTATTTTTTTAGTTCTTTTTTAGGAAATTTTTATTTGCTTTTTTTTACTTTTTTCGATTGGTGCTGTTCGCATGATAAGCTATAATTAGCGAATTCATCATCTTTTTGTTGCCGGGTTTCCTTTGTTCTTCTCTTTTAGGTATTACTTCATCTCATCCGTTGAAACTAATTGTCTCGATTATCCAGTAGTTGAAATGAGACATGGCAACAAACTGGTACAGTTGCAAGGTGCATCATAAGTCCTTACCAATCCGTTTTTTCTCATAACCTTTCTCGTGAATGACAGGTTTGAAAGAACTTTAATGATTGTAACTAAAAATCAACAAAAAAAGACGGTACAGAATTATTCCGTGTAATTGGATTGAACGATGATTCAGATAACATCCGATTTTATTCAGGACAACCGTCGCTATGTCGACACCAATTTGTTCTCAAGGGCAGAGAAAAAGACATTCTTGACTTCCAGATTGCATAGCAGTCTTTTACAAGAATCACACTTTTCAAAAAAATGTCATGGAAAAAGCGAAAGCAAATTTGGAGAAGAGATATTCATTTCCTGAAAGATAAAGAACTGTTGCTCACGATGGTGGTGGATATTCGATGCCGGTACTGTCGCAGATAAGCTCACTCATTTAGAAACAAAAGCTTATTTTTATAAATTTCTATCATTGTAGGGGTGCTTATAGCTTATCTACATTCTTGACGGACGCCTTTTAGCGGAAAAAACTGGAAGGAAGATCATTGACCAAATTTGATCCTGGCGAACTTTTTAATACATTTATGCAGGAGTCCATGTTTCAGGAAAGTTTTCCAAGTAGTTACTTCAGTCACCTCGTGGACACAGTCTACTCAGCGAAAGCTGAAAAGCTATGATTCAAAGAAGTATTTTTCGACGGATAAGCAAGTGTTTACGAGAATATGGGAACTGTGAATAAGAAGTTTTTGTAGAGAGTAGGTTTTGAACCTTTCAGATCTTCAGGATTGCGATTACAAAATGTACCCAGTTTCACAACATCCATAACGCCGCGCGCTACAAGACGGCAGTGTTGTTAAACGAAATTTTAGCAGCATTTTGTTGAAAAGTTGAGGAAAAGTACTCACACAATTTTGATATTAACGTAAGTTAATAAACTGGAACTAACTATTCCGTAAAAGAAATGTACGTCAGTCAATATTGCAAAAAGCATCTTCGCAGGAGACATACGTGACTCTAAGAGCGCCTTTGACTTTTCCGCAAGTCAAGATCTTGTCAAATGAGTACACTCCATTGCTTTAACCCAAATCTGCCCTGGTTCACTGATTATAGCCTTCTCGTTTCCTGACGAGAAACAGTGTCAACTTCTACATTTTAACTAACAGAAGAGCTGTAACTGAAACATTAAGGTTCCATATCAGACGGCGTAAGCTTAGCAGCCCTTCCAGTTGATTACAAGAGCTCTTCAGCAGATCTGTCTTTAGGCAAGCAAAACTTAGTGAACTTCTGCTGCACTTTTAGCTATTGCTTCATGACTTCCTTTGCCAAATGTTGAGCTATCCTGAATTAATAATATTACGCTCAATTTAAGTGCTTTCTGCTATCGAGCCTAAGTTACTAGTTGTTTTGAGTGACTTTACAACTTTGCGGACTGACACTGCCATCTGTCTTAGAGCGGCTATCGAGCCTCTGTAGTACAACAGGAGACGCTTCAGAGCTACTCGCTGTGCTTCCCGACAGTATCTTCAAATGATTTGTCAAAAAATGTCACTTCTTGCATTGCCTTAGGAGAGAAAACGCTTTGATTTGGATGACCATCTTTGTAGTTTGAAATAATACTGTGAGGATGTAGTAGGCGGTTTCGGGCTATAGAGCTTGAATTCGGAAAACTTGTAATCTCGCAATATCCTCCGACAAATTCTTGACACTTTACGCCACCATAATCTAAATTCAGCTTCAGAAGTCTCTTAATGAGTAGCGCTTTACACGAATGAAAAGATTGTCAAACATATGAATCTGCAGTGTACTGTTTGTCTCGCAGTTCCCTGACCAAAATGTTTAACCAGTTCCTTCAAAGGCCTTTGGTCTTTCAATCGCCTTCGTTGTCGGGTAAAAATACAAGAACAGAGCTAATATAGTGTCTGATTTCAAATGCCATGAGCTGTGGATTCTAAGCGTTTCCCGTCCCAAATATTTCACTTTAATACTTAGCTCGTGTCTAACTGTCACGCAGAACCCCGTAGAAGAGATGTCAAGCTCTTCAATAGTCAGTAACATTGAGATTTCAAATCAGGGCTTCGGTATTATGAGTCACAAAATTTAACGTCGGGAATGCACTCAACCATCCCCCAACGTTTCGAAATGCGTGCTGACTGCAGTTGACATTCTTAGACAGGCTTTTGGTCAATCTTCATTAGAAGCAAGAAATTAGTTAGTGTACAACGGTCTTTGAAGTTACTTTACCGATAAAAGCTATAAAAATTTTTTTACTACACAACTGCTGAAGAAAAACGCAAGATAGTGAAGCTATCAAGTAAAAAAATTTGTACCAGTGAAGAAAAACCGATGAAAAGCCAAGGAAATAAACAACTAGTGACCTATTGTGCTCCTGGAATGGTGCCTATAAATTGCGTTTTAAAAGATCCATGTCATCCAACAAACATAAAGTTGGATCTACGATTTATTTTAGTGGAATTACTTTAACACAAAAATAATTATAAAGTGATTTTACTTTAATTCTTCAATGCCAACTAGAAATTCGTTGAATCTATTCTACCGGAAGTACCCGCAAACGTAAATAATTAAAAAATCTATTTCAGTTTTACAATGTTATGAAAACCTAAAACCCGGCAAAACTGGTAATTAGAGCAAAAATTATTCTAAGAACTTAACAAAAAACAAAGCACACTCCTCGTAACATCATTTCTTTGCCCGGTTAAGTTATACTTTAGCATGTCTTCAAGGCTACAAAAGCACCAGCATAGAAGTAATTAAGGTTCCCTTAGTGCTATTTGACAACAGTAAAAAAATTTCAGAAAATACAACATAAAAACAAAATAAAGAACTAGAAGAAATACTGACGTCAGCCCAAACAGAGAACCGTGATATTACAAATCCATCCTAAACTTAATACTGTGACTTCTTCAAAAGTTAATTAACGTCTAAACAAATAATAAAAGCATTTTTCACATCTCGTTTTTATACAGAATCACAGAGTTAAATGTCCCATTGTACGGGGTTTTCCCATCAAGAGTTTCCTTCGCTGTAACTTTGTCTCAGCTTTACTTCTCCTTTCTGTTTCACTACTCCGAACTCATTTGCTGTCACTGGGTGCCTTGCATGACTTTGAATCTGAAAAATTCGCTTCGTTGATTAATGCGCCTTGAAGCGATGCATATTCAAGTCACTGTAAAGGCCAGCTTCGACCAGAAAATGAAGTGGAACCTAAAGATTCGGCGTATTTAGCTGGCGCCTTGCAAATTTCCTTAATGCATTTTAGACAACGAATACCACGACGCACATGCTTTGTTAACCGATCAAGACGGTGTACACGAGTATCACTTTGGTAAGTTTTCTCAGCCTTAAAAAGAGGCAGCGATTGAGCCGCTTTTTAAATTTTTAGTTATATATTGTCGCAGTAAAAAAGTTCACATAAATTGGACCCATCTATTAAAATCTACATGAAACGATTATGTAGAATAACGAAAAACAGACAGTATGATGCCTAAAACAGTGACACTTAAAGACATCTTGGAAACCGTTTTCAAATTAAAGCAAAGGTGGACGTCTAAATGGCTTTCAGAGCTGAAAAGATGAAGCTAGTTAAATAAAATGACCGAGTGCTACCGCATCAAAAGTAAAATTAATTTACTCAAACTTCGAAAAACTTACACCTTCAATGACCTTCAACGCTCGAATCAACTTTCTTTCACGCCTCGCCAAGTCACTGCATCTCCTAAATTGATTTTCGAACCAGACAAAACGAAAGTTGTCAAATACAAGCAAAACTAATAACCCTTCGAGAGCAAATTACTAATATTTAATCAGACAGCTAGCTTTCTTGTGAAGAAAAAAATTTAGTCTCGAAAATGACCAACCCATCCCCGCTCTTCTCGACTGGCTCATTATTTCCATCACTAAATACACACCTATCGTTAAAATTGAACAATGGACCACCCGCAAGACACGTCACTGAGGCAACTGCAGAGCAGCCTACCACATCGGCAGGATGACATGGCAGTGGTACCTGACGCTGTAACTCGGAACTGGATTCGCCAGAAAGACCTTCCCCGCAAATTAATTCCTGCCTTCAACCAATTAAAACACTTCTATCAAAAACTCCCCAAAAATCTACCAAGATATTATCTTTTCGAAAAATAATACGTAGATACGCATAAGTATCGCCAATTTCAATAACAAAACATGATTTATTGTAACATTTTTAAACCAAGATATCGTAACTTTTAAGACAACTGAAAGTCGCTTGTCTACTGTAAAATAATATTCGGCTTCTCCACTTTTGCACAAAAAAAGTATGAAATTAAACATTGAATTGTGAAGCTCGAGTATTACCGAACTTCATGATCATCATCATTTTCTATCCTTGATAATGAACATTTCTGGCAGCTCGCTGATGTTGGTTCATCTCCAACAGCATCAGAATTCTCACAAATTTTCAATGAGGAATTCTCAGCTTCTCCCGAGCTATCCACGCTAGTTTCTTCATCAAGAGTAATAACAGGCCAACTCCGAAAACGCTTCGGAGGGAGCACCTCTATTACCTCAACCTGAAAAAATTTAATTACGTTTTCCGTTAAAAGCTAAGTCCCACAACCTTTCTCGACCTGTCGTTCTCAATTCAAAACTGAAAACCCGCCAATGTCCATCAGATATACCACACGTCCTCCCTCCCTCACCTTCCGTCCAATTGTCCTCGCTCTCGTCCCATGACCATATCCCTCCATTTCTTCATGAACGATCAAAAAGCCGTCATACTGATCACTATGCCATCCAAGAAAAAAACCCTAATTTATTTTTTCAAACCCAAAACTGTTTCATTCCTCAATTGCCAAGTTTAGATTCGTCCTCTTAGCCTTTGAAAACAAGATGAAAACTTTTTAAATCAGGAATTAAAAATATAAAATTCGTTTGGAATTTCTTGTAAACTGCAGTGATTTTCAAAAAGTAAAATGAACCTTACATCATTTTCATCGTCAGACTGTGTGATGAAGTTCAAACCAGTATCTCCTCTAGTTCCAGATGAAACTTAAAAAGAAAAGAAACAGAGTTTCAAAATTTCAAAACATTTTCATCAGAAACAGATTAAAAAAAGCAAATAGTTGTCATGCTATAAAGCCGAATAAGTTTTGATTTTTAAAACTGCAGTAATTAAAAGCAAGCATACCGGGAACAGACCGTATCATCTGCGGAACTTCAGAACTTTCTTCCTCAACAAGACCTTAAATTGAAAAAGATGACTTAAAAACTTAACTTCGTGAAACTCAGATTTATGGAACAGTTGACTTCTGAACTCAATTTCGCAACACAAGCAACCACTAAAAATGTAGTCCATTAACACTGCAACGCAACCACAACTGCAGTGGGTACGACAGTCAACTGAACACCAAGTACAAAATCTGATAAAAACAGCTGCATTTTATGTGGAGTCTTGTCGCCAATTTTTTCGGTTGATACAACAAAGAACTATGTTGTTTTCTACACTTCTCCATTGTCCCTTCGTCAGGCTCTTATCTTTTCTCCTCAGTGGTGTGTCCATACAATGACCACAACGCAAGAAAAAAAAATCTACTTCAAAAAAGACCGGAAAGACGAAAAGACTTTTGCGTCGACTGTTTCATCAAATCGAGTTTCCACTGTACTACAAGCTATGATTAGATACTATAAACTATAAATATAATTTAGGAAATAGCTTTTGAAAATCTAAAACTCTGCCGGACGAACCTGCCGAACCTGTTGAAGCAGTATCTATCGTTATTGGGCTACTGTCGTGCTCATCATGCGGAGGATCTCCATAAATGTTGATCAACTGAAATGATAAATCATAACAAAAGCAAAAGTAAATGGAACTCAAGATAAAGTCAAATGCTAACACGAGTTTCCAAATTAGAACCGGGTTCAGAAGGTGCAATATTATTAATACGGCATGAATGATGCACATAAATTTCCTCATCAGTACTAAGCGAACTGTCACGCCCTCGAGTAATACTGACTTCATCTCTTTTCCAAAACTTTTTCTAAAAACAATAGAACAAAGGTAAAAGTCACAAAAAAAGTCAGAGAAAAAAGCTTATTCATTGAATAATACACACCAAGTACCTCCATTACTATATCTTGGGTCCAAAGCGAAAACTTTTAATGTGAAGTGTTTTCCACCACCGGAATATTTACACACGCACCATCTGATACAAATGGCAGATTGAAAACGGTCTTAGAATATCTTTACAAAGTGGAACCAGTGCTTTTCTCTTTCTGCTACTAATTTTTCGTGTTCATCTTGTTGCGACTGTTCAAATGAAGCCACAGAAAGACTCACGAAAAAGTTCAACCAAACTTCAGAATGACCACTTTTTTTAAAGCATTTTTCAAAGACAACCATCAACTCATAAATTAGTAAATTTATTGCGTTTATTTGGCAAATAATTTGCTTGTCAACATATTTTTTTTTCACTATTCTACCATGTGTTAAGCTTATTACAGTTATAAAATGTTCCGGAACCAAAAAACGATCGAAGGATCTGCCTAAGGAAGCAACAAGTCTACCGTCCAACTAACAAAACTTTCCCGACATAAAGTGTGCGGCACTTCCAAAGATGGAAAAGTATGCAGTGAACCAAAGATGACGACCTGCACAAATAAATCGCGTAAGTAATTGAATACCGACCAGAAACGCTACCAATATTTTCAAACAGGCAAAAAGAAAGACAAAGCAACTGGATGGAAATACTGCTTTTATTGAATAAGTAGGCTCCACTAGAATCTTCGCAGGTGAATCTGTTTATTTAATTAGAAAACGCAACAGAGCATTCTCCTCACTTACAATCGCTGCTCAATCCTGTATTTTTATGAGTTAGTAAAGACTACCACTGGAGAAGACAAAGATCAGACTTTAAAAACGAATAAAGAATTAAAAAATTGGCATATGTAAAAGTAATTCGACTGTGGGTAATTAAAACGGCTATGATCTAGTCTTGATTAATGAGGAGAGTCTAAATACGAATCTGTACCACAAAATCTTCCGCCTAACAAATCTTGCATTACGGAAAAAGCCATTTAAACGAGACTTTCAATTTACATATTGACGCAGCTGTGCCAGAAGCGACATTCAGAAGCAAATTCTTGGAACAAGCAAAATGAATTAATGTCCAATCACAAAAGATAATTAGAAAATATTATTACTTTAGGAAAAACAGATTAGCTAAAACAATAAAAAAAAAAAGGGAAATCCAATGTTTTAACGAGAAAGAGAATACCCTGTTATGGCTGCTTCTGTCGTCTACAGAAAAGCCCTTAAAAACTCTTTCAAAAAGCGCTGCCTGCTTCTGATACACGCCATTATCAGTAGAAGAAGCCTTAAAACATCTTCACTTCATTCGAGGAGTTAATAATAGCTAAGTAGAAATAAACAGTTTGCAAAAATCACTGTACGGAAATAATAAAGAATTTATAACAATAGAAAAAATAGCACACGTTTAGAGTTGCCAGCTGGTTCTGCCGAGAGTTGCTTATTCTCACATTACTTGCTTCTAAAACAACTTTTACATATACAAATATTTCCAAAAAATAAGCAGAAAAAAAAAACAAACCAAAATAACGAACCGTCCAGAACTCGAGAAACACCTGAAGAAGATGGAAGGTCACTTGCGCTACCACTCTGGTGCACCAGATCTGTCAAATTGTTGCTGCATGAAGCACTCCACTCATTGCTGTACAGTCGCTTTGTGGATCCAGGAGTCACACAAGATACCTTAAAAAATTCAATAACCGGATGAAGTTCATACTAAAATTGGCAATATTACTTTACAACGGAATATCATACAGTAACAGACCAAGTTCTTCCCAAGTAAAATTTGAAAGAATAGACCTCATGATCATCTGAATCACTGATGTCGACAAGTACGGGAGGGTCATTATCTGGTGGTGCACTCCCCCTGGGGATTGTGAAATGCTCACCGAACGCTAAAGGTCTCTGGAAAAAATAATTCCTCCAAATAAAAATTCAGCCTTGTTAAAAAGAAAGTGAAATAATAAACTCCTCAATAAAGAAAACAAAAGAAACAAGAAACGGTAAGGGAAATCCCAGTGAGTTGGGAAAGACAGTGGAAAGTAAAACCTAATCGTCTCTATTCAGAAAACACCTGTCAACAAGTAAACTGCTTCTACGTCCAAACGTTCATAGACAGCTACTGTTGAAACTTCTTAATACCACCAAAGAGAACACACGTGACTTCCGGATGAAAAAACGTTATTTTCCTACTTAAAATCTGACCACATTTGTTTAAACTAAAAAACTTTAGTTAACTGAGATGATCCCCCTAGCTGCACAATACCACCCCTAATGATAGATATTCAAATATTATACAATTCACCAGTTAGAGTAATCGTAACAAGAGTAAGATCTTAAAAGCAAACGTAAGCATCAAATTATAAAAAACTACACAGTTGCTACAACATCAAGAAGACAATTCCAACCCCATTAAGCCCACCTCTAGAACTCTATGAAATTTCCCAAATTTGCAACAGAATGTCCCTATTAAAAAATCGTTAAGTTCAAATGAATGCTTAAAACAGAATAAACACTAAACTCCTCAAAGAAACCAAAAATATTTAAAGCAATGATCTCCCATCATTGAGTCAAACACAAATAACAGCCCTAAGTGTCGTTCATACATCCGTCTCAAATGTCTAACACCCTCGAAAGATATTTTTAGAACAACTTCTAAATAGAGAATAAACTCACTGTTATAATAGGTAAAATACTAAATAAAGAAAAGTTGATATGAATTCGCTTTAAAGATATACGTTGATTTAAGGTCAAAACAAGAGCTGCAAACGGTGAACTCTTAAAGGGAATCCCTCAATCTCAGTTAGGATTTAAGTGAAGAATGCTTATGGAACTTTTAGGACCTCTTAAAAGATTGCTGTAAGAGAGCTACTGACGTGCTGAAATTTACAGCACATATAATCACGCAAACTTACATAAATTGCCAATCCGCTTAAAACCCGACTGGACTAGGGACCTTTGAAAATCAACAAAAAACCGATATTTCCTTGAACTCAATGTTAGTAGACGTTGAGGAAGTATTTTCGATAATCGCCAATTTTTTCTGTGAAAATGATACCACAAAAGCATTCCATCGCTTATATCAGAGACAAATTTGCAGTGAATGCATTGACTTAATTTCTTAATTTAATTATTAAAATTTAAGTTATAGAAAATTCAAAAACTAATCCCCATTAAACTAAGTCTTCTACCTAGCAAAACAAAATATTTCCTTTACAGGTAAATGCATTACATCATTGAGAAAAATGCATCATAAACTAACCTTTTCTATTTCACTTCCAATATCCATAAAATTGCTTACACCCTTCCGTAGCAAAGTAAATGGTGACTGAGGTCAAACCATGAGATCTTAAGCCCCATAATTTTTGCAATTTTTCAAGTATAAACGGAACTCCCCAATAACTTCCTAAAACCCTAAAAATATAACTATCTCAGCATCGGAACTTAATCAACTGAAATAAGAGTTTAATTATGACAGATAC